GTGGAGGAGGTAGTCTTCATCTCCTCCTTCATGCTCAAAGATAGTCGCAGAGTGGCTAGCCATTGCGCTGTTCTTGGATCGAGCCCCGGGAGAAACCTCTTCCGGTTATCTTCACCTGAGTGAAGTGTGCCGGAGAGACTCCGGTCACCTTCACCTGAGTGAAGCACACCGGGTATTCCGGTTGCCTCCACCTGTGTAGAGAGTACCGAACGGGTACCTCCACAAGTGTGAAGCTTCCCGTTTCCCGGGAGCTCCGCTACCACGTTGAGATGTAACCTGGACGTGTATCCCCTCGCTAGGCGTACAGGAACACAGGCACTCAGGTGTCTCTTTTGCTACAGGCGCACAGCTGTAGTCCAGTCCACTGCACTAGAACCTTGAGCAACAGGCATGGATACATGCAAGTGATACGTGAAACAGACAGGCACCTGGATGTGTAACATTCAGTGTTTCACCCCTCCCCCTTTCCCTCCCGCCCCTCCTCGCTCGCTGACAGGTGCGAGTTTTGTGGAGTTTTCCGACGACACGGGACTGCAATGTAGCATCTTTATGTGTTGGGGCTCGCCTTTAAGGCTGCAGTACCAAGCGAGTTTCAAACCTGAAATTCTAACCCTACTGCAGATAGTAGCCACTCGCCGCATGCGCGTACAGCCGGGCCGAGGCGGACGACGTGCAGCGTTTCAAATTACAAGCCAATGTATATATACATATATTCATACAGAGAGAGAGGGGGAGAGAGAGAGAGAGGTGAGCTTTGACAACGAACGAGTCTGACATTAATGCTTCAAATCGTGCATGTCCATCGAAGGATCTATCAGCCACATGTTTCGCGCTGCTTCCCTGGGCACAGCTCAGAGTACACCATTGGTTCCAGACAGCTGAAGCATTTTGATTCTTTTGTATTCGCAGAAAGGTCATTGCATTCTGTATTATTCCTCACGCTCTGCAGGGCACTTGAAGAAGCCCCCTTGTGAAGAAACCCCAGTATATGCTGAAAGCACAGGAGCCTGAAAGGTGCAAATGAACACGACTCGCGTCGAACTACCAACTGAGGCCAAACACTGCGACAAAAGCTAAAACCCGCGCTAACAGCTGCTACGTGTAGTTTTGTTTGTTGCCATGCTCTGAAACTGCAGCTCAACGTCTTTGCTGAAGCCACGGCGACTGCGTGACCTAAGCGACACTAACTGCACACTAATTCTGCGTCTAGATCGGACCTCTGAGTGACAATAGGTCTTATGCTAGTAAAGCCGCTAGCAGAGCATCAAAACGGCTTGCTGAAGCGAAGCGACTGCCAGCGCACACTTAGCACCTTGGCTTCGCCGCAGACAAATTCACTCAGGGACCCTGGCCGTGATCCTGCATCCCAACACAACACGTCATGACAGCAAGCTCAGTTGACATATGTGCACTTGCTGAGAGGAACAGCAGCGCTGCCATGGTTGGTTCGCGGTGCCGATGAAACTCCGAGAGCAGGCCCCGCACACACAGCCTGAGAAGAAACATTCGCTCTATCGCCCACAGCTGCGCTTGACAGTGTTTGCAGTGTTTCAATCTCGGCCACTGCCGGCTCTAGTGGTTGTGGTTGGGGCGTCCGGTTCCTGCAGAAGGTGGTAAAGCCTCTTTGGAACTTTGTCCCAGGCACGGCCACAGAACCTGCAGTGATGCCGAGGCCTCCAGAATCCTGAGCTGGCCCAGCTGGCTTTCAAATTCCATCTATCCCAAAACACAGCAGAGTCCCCACTCCTGCCGGCTAGGAACTCTTGCCCAAAGACGCACAGCAAAGGCTGCAGTGCCTTGTGTTCGGCTCCCAAGGCTCCTCGTTCGCGCATGTACCTACGCGGGCCGTGGGGGCAGGCTGGTTGGTCCAAGTGACAGTCATGGTCACATGGTGGATGGTGGCCTGCCGTGGCGAGGGCTTCGCCTTTTGCTGGCGCCGGTAGCGCCTCCAGCCTGCAGCAGCTGCAGTGTGGTTTCGGCCCCCTTTTGGCACATCAACAAACAAAACACTTGCCTCGACACCGAGGCGGCACAGTCCTGCAGCGCCTCCTGTCTCAAAAGTAGCAAAACGCCCGTCGCTCCTACGAGTTCCGGGCAATTCCGAACACTTCCTCCAGGCTGGCTGGCTGCAACCGACCGTCCTCTGTGCTGTGCAGGTGACCATTCTGTGTATGCTCGTCGAAACAATCTTGCATCGTGTCTGCAACTCGACAACACAAATCTGCGCACGTCCTTTTCGCAGGTTGAAGCTGCATGGGTGCCACAGTGCTCCTAGACCATGTCCGGTGCAAAGGCACTTCTAGGACCTAGGACCTAGAGGTGCCGGTGACAAACGACACCGGCCTGCTGGTCGAGCCATGAAGTCACCCGCTTGCGCAAGCCTTGTTCTGCACTTGCAGCGGGCTGCAGATTCGATGCTGACGCGGTCTCCCGTGCTGGCCCGTGCTCCTCCGCGCTATATGATGCTGGTAGTGCTGAAGCTTCCCTGTTCACCCTGGCCCTGACTTTCTGTAAGTTGCGCCTGCTCTTGCTCATGCGCAGTGGGCATGGCCTCGCGTGGCCTCATCTAGCGGTTTCGGGAGTTGCCTGCATACCGCCGTCCCTGTCGTCTGGCATTCCTGCCAAAGCCCCTGCATCCCCTGCAATCCCCCATGCTCCTCGCCAACTGTTTCCCGTACATCCCATACTTCCCTTTTCGCAACATTTCCTTGCCAGGCCTGTGCCCTGCCACCTCTCCCCCTCATCCCCGAAACTCTCCCTCTCCTGCTTGTCTCCCCGTCCCGTCCGTTGCAAGAGTTCGATTTTGTTTTTCGCTTGTATTTTTGTTTGTAGGTGACAAGCAGCATGCACACAAACACTGTCGCCATCAAAAAATCTAGCTCCAAATACTTAAATTCATGAGCCTGCCCTCCGGCCAGGCCCTGTTCAGCCTCACAACCAGAGTTCTCAACAAGTACGACTGTTTTGTTGTTGCTGTTGTTTTGCTGTTGCGGTGGGGGGCCGCGGGTGGTTGTTGTTTTGCAGTTGCCGTCGCAGGGTGCGTTTGCTGTCGGGGCCGGGGAAGCGGTTTGGCTAGGGAAACCAGGGTTGATCAGGTTGCTGAGTAACCCTAACCATTAGTGGCGCGCGCTGGCCATGAGCCCGGCCTACCCCAGAGCAAACCTACCGTGTATTCTGCTGCTAAGGCAGGGCGGGTATTGGTTTTTTGCCGTTGGGGCAGGTTCTTTTTCAATTTTGCTGTCAGTGCCGTTCCCAGCGGATACGAGCTTCAGGGGACTGTCAGGACGTTTGCGAACCTCGGGCTGCGTTTAAGTTGTCTTCAGCACTGCGGCCGCCCTTTTCGCTTGGCCGCCGCGCGATTAGCTTTCCATCTTCCGAAATCTCTGCTTCGAGTGGCCGTTCAGACGAACGATTCAGCAAACAGATGCTCAGCTGTCACCCTGTATATCATGCACCATAGAATATACATATATATATATGTGTGTATATATATATATATATATATATTCACGTGTAGTGTACACGTAGATATATACATTCTGGACGCAGTTCATGCAGTTGTAGCGCATCGTCGGAGTACCATTTGCAGTGTAGCAGCAGCAGCGTTTTAAAATACCCGCAGAAGAAGCAGCAGCAGCAGCAGCTGTGGAAAAAAAAAAGTGCCGGCAACAGTCACAGCCATATTAACAGCAGATGGTGACACAATCGTATTGGTAATGATAGTCCATGGCTCGAAAGGACAGTGATATAACTGGTTGAAAGATGGATCATCTAAGCCGCAGGCATGCTATTTCCTCTGTGGCTGACCGCAATCGAGCTTCAAGATGCCGACATCGGACTCGTTCCTGTGACATTGATTCTGCCGAGACGTCTTCGGACCGGAAGCCAAGAAAGGTCCTGTTCTACCTCAGCGGCGAATCGAGCGGCCTGGCGTTGCGACAACTTCCAACAACTTCCAAAGGGCTGGTTCCAAGCACCTCTGCTTGCGAAGCAATGAGTTGTGTCTGCATTCCTTGCACGGTAACGCAGATTTGAGATTATGTGGGGAGTGTGTGAGAGACTGCGACCTTCCAGAGGACCGATAGCATCCTCGCAGAGAACGAGCATCGCATCCAGGCTGCCTCCCGGCAGGTGGCAGAACTGCTGATGCAGCAGAGCAACTCAAATTGTCCCGTACCAGTCACCTATGGGAACGGCTCTTGCAGAAGAGCTCGCACTGCTCAAGCCAAGTAATCTTGCACCTGCAAAGCAAACAGGGGTCAGGCGTTGCTAGATGCCACAAGCAAGGATTCCCTGCCTAGCTGAGAGATGCGCGATTTCAGTGCAGGTGCTTTGTAAGCCTCAGTGGTGGCGTCAGGCCTCACCCGATAACCTCAAGACTTGTCAAGCAGCGTCGCAAAGACGTGCCGGTTTCTGCGAGGGCAAGTTCTCCGCAAGCTGCGAGGTAACGGCGCTGCAGATCTGCGCCACACCGGTTAATTTACACAAATTCCTCGCCAAAAAGGCTGCCAAGTAGACATCTTCGAGGAAACGTGGGTTCAGCACCTTCGGCGCATATCGATTGTACAGCATTAACAGCTGATAACACGGGCATGGGCCCAGAAAATTTTGCCCCCTCGCACCACGCGTTGTTAATACTCAACGCAGAAAGCTCAGATGGAAATTGCCGTCGTCATACTCCCATGGAACAAATTCGAAGAAGGCACGGTGCTATGCTCACTGCACATATTCGCCGCCCTTCAGGCCGCATGTTTTCTTCGAACACATACTAAGACACCACCTTGGTCGACAAAGCGTGATGAACAGAGAACATCATCAATAGCGAGACGGTGGAGTCCGGAACAACCTTCGCCCAGGGTGAAACTGCTTGATGGCTTGCATGGCAGCACCACTGAGGGGCGTTTGCCGCCATTGTGGGCTGGGGGAGAGCTGGCTTTGCGAAGCAAGACTTTTGGCTTGCCCATGCGTGCGGACAAAGGCTTGTACATCCCACGGATTGCCTAAGAGGGGTCACTGTCGGTTAAGCCGCTTCCGCTGCTGCCTTAGTTTGGAGGCGTCCCGCTTATCCACATGTGATATTCTGCAGCCCAAGCCGTACCTACGAGTCTGGGAGGAGTTGTGCCAAGTTGCTGCTGCTGCTGCTGTCTTCATCACCCTCTTCTGGAGAAGCCAGCGGTCCCTTCGGCAGCCACGTGACTCGCACAGGCAGAGGTCAGTTGGCACGACTACGCTAGCACGAAGCGGTGCCTCGTAGGAAATCTGCTGCAGAGCAAGGAGTTGGTTTGTCTGCAGCCCCGACGGGTCACTCCCCCACGCCGAAAAGTCACTCCCGTTTTGCCCATGCTTCAACATGTCAATTTTGCCGGTGCCTTGGCTGCGCAAACTTTGGGATGCGCTACGAAGAGAGACGCAATTTGCAGCCAGGCGCTTCTTCTTCTGCTCTCCGCCACAAATCTGGCAAAGTTCGACGAATCTTCAGCAAGTTCGATCTTACTGTCGACGACTCCTTCAGCCTTCAGAGCAACATCAAGATCAGTCAGCGATTCTGCGATGTGCTGAATACGTTCGAATTTGCAGGCGCCGTGGGCCTGCCCCAACGCTGTCACGGCCCAGGAGAACAAGGCTTGTCTTGCTGCCTCTTCCGCCCCTTCCTCCTCGTTCTGCGGCATCTGTGGCCAAACATCTGAAAGGGAGTCCGGATGCTGCCTCGGATACGGCGCATAAATGCCTTTTCGATGCAGGGCTCCATTGCTAACCCCTACTACTACTACTACCGGTACTAACGTTCCTCTATGTCTTCCTACCAGCTTCCTTGCAATGCGAGTTAAGTCCCCACCTACCAACTAGAAGCTGTTCGCCTTGGCTGCACCTGACTCAACATCCAAGCTGCGCAAAGTAGTCGCGGAACATCTTGGCATACCTTTTGAGCTTGTAAGGGGGCTGAGGATTCAGCAAATATACGCAAGCACAGAGATCCAATCATTCCGGGTGATTCTTTGGTTGTACACATCTGTGAAGCGCTTGCCAACTGACTCCAAGGCCTGGCATGGCCTGGACCTGTGCTTCTCTAGATTCTAGATGTTGTGAGCACTATCGGAGTGGTCTGCGCGTGCGTGGGAACCAGCTTGGTTGTCCTGTTTGCTGAAGTCCTACTTGTGAGCGGAAGCGGCGTTTGTATGGTGCTGAGCAGACCAATGGTCCGGACAGGTGGGATCTGTGAAAGAATCTTTGCCGCCACCGCCGATGTCAGCCGGCTTGCAAGACTGTCACACCGTCGCGCTCTTGCGCGCGCTTGCCACATCAAACATGCAGGATCCCTTCACTTTATAGTTTGCCGCCAGCACAGCTCAGGGCAAAGAAGCAGACTAAACTAGAGCGAAAGCGCATCGGAACATCAATCCCTGGCAAGAGGTAAGTGGGATCTCGTTGCATGTTTGACTTCAGTGTCGATGTACGGAAGCTCGCACAATGGCGGGCAGAACTTTGTGTGACTCTCTTGGACTAGGGCATTGGCCTGTGCTCTTAACGGCGAAGCTGCTGTAGTTCCGGCGTGCGTTTGCCACGGAAGCTCTGAAGTGGCGTGGGCACCGCTGCTGCTTTTCCAGTGGTCTGAGCTACCGGCTCTCGCACTGGCGCATCATCCTTGAGAATGCTCTGAAAAACTCCTGCGGTCGGGGTCCCGTGAGATCCGTGCATGGCATGACAAACCTTTGCCGCCTCTTTACCTCCACGTCACCTCCTACGGTTCTCATCGTTGGCCTGGTTGTTGAATCCGTGCTATGCAACTGGCATGAAACGGAAAGGGCGACCACCGCCCGTCAACGCCTAAATGCCTCTGCTTAGTGACTACCACCAGCGTCACGTTCTCCTGCGTCTACGGAGATGACTTCGCATCCGGAGCTCTCGTTGGTCTTCGCCGTGCCCTTGTGCGTCCACTTCACCCAGAGGGCCGCCTCGCACAGCCTCAGTACCCAAGCTTGTCCTGCATCTGCTCCGAGGCCACGCTAGTGCGAACCATAACCCATACGACGTTCCCAAACATCTCTTCATGGACAAGCGGCCAGGCACCGGCAGTCAGTTTGAGTGTGGGCTCCTTCGCAGGAAACATCAAGGCCACGCTCGCACTTGCTCTGACACGGGAGGCACCCGTTCGGGCGTCAGACGTTGAACACAATCAGAGGCTGGGGATATCATGAATTCGAGAGGCACCCTTGAGAAGCAGTTGTTTGCCGCCGAGCGACTTGGGCATTGGCTTCATAATACTCCAGCAGTGACTCCGGCACGCGACTATTCAAGAAATGCATGTGCGTAGCCTGAGGTGGTATGGCAGAACACACATTCGCAGATCTGCACGGAGAAAGATGTAGCACGGGTCCAATCGACTGGCTCAATCAAGCCACGTTCTCTCCCCGAGTGATCAGCTCTTGCGTAGTGCTAAGGTATTTCTCGGTCAGCGCAGTGCTGTAGATCTTGCGCGTTTGATCTAAGAAGCACGTTTCACACACCTCAGCTCCGGCGTGCGTTAGCTTAAGATTTAGTGCCCTGTGGAGCCGTGCATCATGCCTCTGATGCGTCCTATCTCCGCCTGCTGCCCACCAAGCCACAACGAAAAATGGATGTTGAAATTGTGCGGAGTAAATTTCCTGCGATTGGCATATCCAATGCGTGACACAACGATGCGGCTGGTCAGGCCAAGAATGGCCACCGAGCCTGGCTCAGATCATGCCGCAGACTTAGCGGCATTAAGCGGAGCAGTGTGACCTGGAGGGCACCCAATCAGGAAAGGCCTATCACAAAGAAGTTGTCTGTGCATCAATGGCAGTCGATAGCTCAGCTTCGAGCATCAGCTTCGTGCCTGCGTCAGCCAGCTCCAACAATTTCGAAATTTTTGTGGGGGCGCACCACATTTCTAAGCTCGAGATTGGAAGCAGAAATCTGAGCCCCTGGCACGCGTGAGCGAGTCTGGCTCAAAGTTTTAACACTCCGCCACACCCGAGCTTTCACTGGTGCAGAGACCTGACCAAGAAAGCAGCTGAACACAGGTAGGCTCTAAAGCAATGCAAAGTCAGGCCACATTGGGGTACTGCTGCATGTAGCGACGAAGAAGAGCTGCTTGCTCATTCCGCTCACCTGGGATGCAAAGAGTTCTCGGTGAAAGATGGTCAAAGGATGTTCGAGTCCAGGATGGACGTGCTGCCGCGTCGCTGTTCAAATTTCGCAGCTGGTTCATGGCATTGGTGATGGCGGAGATGAATGTGGAGAATATGACCATGGCTGAGATGATGACTACGACATTGAAGAGACGCTCGATCTCATTTTTGGGAACGACCTCAGCAGAACAATGTCATTGAACCAGACCCGAAAAGAAGCTTGCTCAAAGAAAAGTCGATCAAGCACGAAAACCGAAACCGTGAAAGGCCCTAAAGCGCCCTACAACCCTCTCGGACGGGCTCACCTCCATCGAAGCTGGAGTGAACTGCGTCAGTGACCAGTGCAATGCCGTAAAATACCTCGGATATGACCAAAAGATAACGGGCATATCTGACAAGAGACGCACTATCCTTAAGACGGAAGCCTCAAGAAACGGCATGCCGTGGAAGGGCAGCGGCGAGAGGAACCGTCGTGCAAGACAGCGTGCAACAGCCCATATACATATACATATACATAAACATATACATATACATATACATATGAATATACATATACATATACATATACATATACATATACATATACATATACATATACATATACATATACACATACACATACACATACACATACACATACATATACATATACATATACACATACGTATACATATACATATAGAGAGCGGTCGACTGTGGGGCCTGGGTTTGGTTTCAGTGCCTTTTATCGGGTTTCAACGTTAATGGCTCCAAAGCAGGAGCTTGTGTTTTGTGTCGCGTAAAGCACATACCACAAAGCAAGCATCACAAATGTTTTTCGGAACAGCTTATTCGAGCTGTGCAAAATCGCTCTCCAACAGGCTCCACACCAGTGTGTAGGTCGAGCCTCTTAATCTGGGTTCTTGTGTAGCAGATCTTACAAACAGAAAACGCTGTAAATATCGATGAATTCAAGCCGTGAAAGTGTTCATAGAAGGACAAGCAGAAATCACCGCAAATACCAGTGTCTATTGATTTCAATTTATCCAACCAGGTCTTGGGGTATCTCACATCAACTCCACACTTTCCTCCATTAAGAAAAGTTTTGTGACCAGCACTTAAGACTTGAGGGTTGGCATCAATTGGGAATGGCTGCGCGCGTCTCGGGCGGATGGTGGATTAGTCGGCGGTTGTACCTTGTGGTGAACGTGCTGGTGGTGAGGGGGGGGGAGGGGGGGGGGGGTGGCAGGTGTTGGATGTTGGGCGGCATCATACCAAGACCTCTGGCGCCCCCCCCCCCCCTCCCCCCCCTCCCCCCCGCCCCCTCGAGCGAAGCGTTTGTTTATAAACAGCGCCTGTGTTTATAAACAGCTGTCGTGTTTATAAACACAGTAAAGGAAAACTAAAACAAATTTAACAAACCAACACACCACGACAAGAATCCATGACAAGAATCCTTGACAAGGCGATACAGACATCAATCAATTCAACAAAAGATGCGTGAACAGAAGGTTAAGAGCAGCAAGTAAGCATCACGAGCCCGATCCAAAGGCCTACGTAACTTCAAAAACTCCTTATACACAAACGCAGGCCCCAGGATCGACCCTTCTGTACATATACATATACATGAACAATTGCCTCCATATACACAAACAATAATTATACAATATTTACATATACATATACACGTATAAACTCTGTGTGCGTGCGTCCGTGCGTGCGTGCGTGCGTGCGTGGGTGGGCGGGCGGGCGGACGGGCATGGGTGTGTGCGTGTGCGGGTGTGCGGGTGTGCGCGTGTGTGCGTGGGCACGTGTTCCCGTGTGAATAGGCGCATGCGCACGTGCGCGCGTGGTCGAGCGGGCGCGCGGGCGCGTGTGCGCGTGTGCGCGGGTGCGCGTGTGCAAACATTTGTGCCCTGTCAAGCTCATCCAGGATGAGTTTGGAACCACCAAACAGTAAAGTCTTTTTCATTTGGATGCAGGGCGATGCAGAAAAGAGCATTGCTCAAAGCAGTGTCCAGTCTGATTCGCTGCGACTTCTGTTCTTTTTCGCATGCTTTCCTGTTGATACAGTTGTTGGCTTTCAGCGGTTTGTCATCATGTCAGACCGTAGCAGATCTCGGTCCCCGCAGATTTCATGGCGCTTCTACGTCCAAAACTACGGCAGCCGATGGTCAAAACAGTTGGTGGAAAACTTGGTTTCCCGCCACACAACAATGGATCCAAAGTCGCCTCACTGCGGACAGGATGTGGAGCTCTAGCTCCAACTTGATCGAGACTACCAATGCACCTCTCAATCAAGCCACATGCTCGGAATCGCCTCGAAAACCGAGGAGAAGCTCTTCCCCATGAAAGCCTACTTTTATGGATGTGTAATTAATTCTTGCCAGCATTTGTGCTGGCCATTGTCTTTAACAGTATGTAGGTCTGCATACCCAACAATTGGAGATGCAACTACACTCGTCCAGTGCTACACAAAAACGGAGCTTCCGTTGATGCAAAATTGAACTGCTTTCGTCAATCAGCTGTTTGCCTTAGCAGGCTACCCCGCTTAGCGGTGTGTGTGTGTGGTGTGTGCGGAACACCTGTTTGCCAAGGTTTATCTGTCATGCATTTCAAGTTTTGCAGGGGGGCAACCCCGTGAGCATAGCTGGTTGCTCAACGAAAAGGGCTATGCCACGGCTGATACTGGGTCTGATCAACCCAGCGTACCTGCTAATGTCTTTATGCAGTGCTTTGGCAGGGGCTAAGCCAAGAACCTAAGCCAAGAACCCCAATAAGTGATGTAACTGCCTAGTGGCTTCAAATCCGTTACCTCTTTGTTGAAAGACTGAGTTCACGGCAATTATTATCAGTGCAGAGGCAGGATTGCACGAGTATGTGTGTGTGTGTGTACTCAATCCGTATTTCATTGGGAGCCAAGCGGCTGGTAGGCCATGGGTGCCACGAGAATATCTGAATCTGCTTGAAGGAGCCACGTATCCGGTCTGTTCAGTTGCCTGAACTCAAGGAAACTGCAGCACACGCGGCTCGAAGAGGCTTCTCATGCATCTACTTCCAGCTGTTTGCTGCTGTGCTGAAACCAGCAAAGGCTCCCGATCCAAAACCAAGCACAGGCAACCATATGGTTCAGCAGCATGATAAAGGCTATCCTGAGCATTAGGTGAAAGGCTTGACCCGCCGCCCGTATGCTTCTGCAGATGCTGAAGCCACCAGCTCCCCGACGAGCCACAATCGCGCAACACTGATAAAAATCACGGAGACCCTCAGCTGCAAAATATGTCGGCTGTCAATGCTTTCATGGATACCGCTTCTTGCAGAATTTCATGCAAGTCAGGCGCTCAGACTGCACGTGCTCCAGCAGCTCATTCAATCGTCCTCGCGATGCACAGAAGCTGAGGACAGGCACGATCAAGTCCGAGCACTGAGACTATAAGCTGGAAGTGGTCGTGACAACCCACAGCCGCGGTCCATGCGCTCTCAGGAGGCGCAGCAGGCGAAGCAAGCGCAGGAAACGAACCGCCTGAAGCAACCAAAGAAGTTTTCCCTGAAGTCGTCATGCTTGGACGACTGAACTTTGAGCGCCGGCCTTTCCGATTCGGAAGAAGGAAATACCTTCTCCAGCACTGACCGAGGAGCTGCTCGTCCAGTCCAGAAAGTTGATCACCCAGTCCTGACAGGCATTGTTCCTACAACCTAAGCCAGACCATAAACCACAGACACCGCAGAGAGCTGCTAGGTGCCGGACAATCGTCACGATAGCAAGATCTAGCGACAGCCAGCCCGTGCAGTAGTTCCATGCGATCTTCTGCAAATCCTTCTCAATAACGCCTGTTGCTACACAGAACGAACTCGTACTGCAACTGCTCGCTGCAAATTCGGATGCTGGGGTCTCAGGTTTGCAGCCCGATGCCATGAGGGGTGCCTTGGTCTTGGATAGCAAAGCCAACCAGGAATGACAGCGGGATGTCAAAGGTCCTGCATCGTGTGGCCACTCTGCGGCTTGACACTTGCAAGAGAAACTGCTGGCCGATCAGCACTGCACTTTCATAATGAGGCGACGGCCAGTAAATGGAGGACAACACGCCGGTCGCCACGGTGAATTGTGAATCTGTTGGGTCGAAGACTTGCATGGGCAGCCAGATCAGGTCATAAATGATGAGCAATAGCCCAAATACCTTGAATCAGGCACCGAAACCCGGACCCCCGGACCCCCTGCAGGTCGGCTCTTCGCTCTTCGGCACAAGACAAGTGGCTTCCCACGTAATCCGTCGTGGAGAGCTCGGGTCCGAGACAAAGCTTGAGAGAAGTGCATGCGTATATCGCATACATCGTCTGCAACTGCTCGTTCCCTTCTTTTCTGGGCTGGTGCAATCGCCAGGAATCGGGTTTCCCTGAGCAGATTTAAAACAGACTTTGCAAGAAGGACACACCAAGCACGTCTGAAAGCCGATCCTCCGCATCCTTCATGCCAGCGTTTGCAGATCCTCATCAGCCCGTGGATGCTCAAGAGGTGTGTTTGAGCTGAGACACTCGCTAACGCATCTCAGTGCAGACTTGCGTCTAACGTTGACCCGGGCAGCCAGTCCCTGAGTGGACTTGCTCCTCGGTTCCCAAGGTCTCTTTCGGAAGTGTGCACAGCCCAAAATAGATCAGTTGAACCCTGAAATCCAGTCATCCAGTCAAGCCGCCAGACGGGCAGCAGCTTAACTTCCTCGCCACGTCATCACATATTCACAATACTCTCCGTAGAAGACCCCTCTCCGCCCCGACGCGCCTCACCGGTGAACCCACCCAGGCCGACGGTAGCGCCTAAAAACGAACCAGCTCTGCAGTGCCGCCGCAAACGAACCCCTCCCCAGATGCCCTGCCTCTTCGCGCTCTGCTCTGCTGGGGGCTCTGCTGAGCTCCGTTGGAGGACCGTGGGGTGAATGGCGGGGTTTGAGCACCCAATGAAGGGGCTCCGAAAGAGGGTTTTTTCGGGTCGGGAGTTTTCGGTGCCGGAACTCCGGGAACCAGCATCGCACTGTTCCTGCGACCCCTTGATGCAGCCTGTCCAGCAGCAGGGGCAGGTGCCACCTTTCTGCTAGAACCTCAGTACCCAGTCTCTGGAGCGTCTCTGGAATCACGTCTGCGCTTCTGTCTACACATAGCTGGCGGTGCTGGCAGGGAGCTGGATGCTCTGGGCGCACTTGGGCTTGACGGCACCATCCCGAATAGCATGCCCGATCCAGACGCCCTAGGGCTTGGTGTGGTGCCCACCTCGCCATCCTGCAAACACCGCCGACCATACAATGATTAGGCCGAGTTGTGCACTACGTCACAGATCAGGGTTCGGACTTGCCGAAGGACTTGCACGATGATAGGGGCAACGTGTAGCACCACAAGCAACGAGGCAGCGATGGGTGGCTGCACGGGCCACGGGCTGTCCTGCTCTGAAAAGTTCCGCAAAGACAGCCGCATCGGCGACCCCCCAGAAGCCAACGAGCTCTGACTCATTCGGGGCTGCTTCACCACTCCACCGGATCCTGAAGAATTACCGTAAGCACTCGAAGTGCCAACTGCGCTCAGCCAAGCACAGCCATGTCGTCCTTTGGATGCCGATTTCACGTGAACCAGCCTCAGAAATGCAAGACATGAACTCAGTGAACTGCCGTGAATCTGCCACATGTGCACATGCGAGGATGGCTGCGGCAACAATCTCTTTCAGAACCACTGCAACTGCGGCCTCGGGTGGCCTTTCACGATTGGGGCCGGGGTCTCGGGCTCAGCAGGGACGCAGAACCACGAACAACATGTAGCATACCCGAGCCAACTTCGCATGTGATGCACATGTTTCCACTCTGCTTTCTTGCTTGACCCGATTCTTTTGGTGCGGCTTGCTGCTTCTGCTTACGGGGTTGCGCGAGTTTGCACCAGCCGCGCTTGGTCTCGAGGGGACGCCGCTGGTGGACGAGGAGTCGCATGCGAATCACGGGCAACTCTCTGGAAAACGAGAGCCGAGCAATGGAGACCCAAGCATGATGAGATGGATGGCAGTCGATGGTAAACCATGCACTTAGCAAAAATCGATGCCACTTTATTGCTGCCGCAGAAACCCGGTGTCGATGTCTTCAGCTTCGGATAACTCTGAGTTTTCTTTTCTGACCTCGTTCTTTGCGGAGCCAGCTGCTTGCCGAAGCTCCTCCGGTGATTCGGCGTTGCACTCGTTTTGCCTTGCTACATGGGTCAAGGTGTCCTCGATTTTTCTCTGGAGCTTCGACTTTTCCTGTCATCCACAATCAGTCGTCACTAGCAGCTAGCACTGCTGGGGAACATGGTCTCGCAGGAACGCGCTGTAAACCCGAAGCAAACTGATCATTTCATGACAGATCTCTCGGTTCGCAGCCGCCTCCTCTTGCCCTTCCTTGGATACAGGCTCCACGCAATGAGCGAGAACATGCGAAAACTCGCAAGGCACTGTGGCAAAATTTAGAGCATGAGATTGACTGCGAAACTGATCCCATCTATGGAAAATGAATGACCGCCGGTCTCGGGTTGACGTCTTATCTTAGGGTCTAAGCGGTCAGCTCCGAAACCGATTTCTTTTGTCAAGCTGCCTTGGCATTTGCAACCTCTCGATCGTGGGCAGCTGCCAGTTTTAACAGGAGGTCCTGGAAGCTGAGAGTCTCAGCATTTGCCATGGCAAGGCAGACTTCTACGAGTCGCTGACCCGGCTATGGTATTACTGGACTGTAGTAGATGGCTTTTTGTGCGGTATTTCCCGAGCTGCAGAGCAAGGGGATGGTGTACTCAGCGTGTTGAGCTGTACATCCGTCGCACTTACACATGTGCACGCGGTCGACACAAGGTGCCGGGTCTGACTCTGCCCGCCAGACGCAGAGGCTTGGGCCAAGAAGCTTGCAGCGTATGGAAGCATATGGAAACAGTCAGGTACAATTCATCTGCTCTGACATTCCTGCCAGTCCGGCAGGGGCTCCAAAATCCAAGTTCTGACCAGACCGGAATCGGAGAACCGAAAACGAATCCGAGGAGCGACGGCCATGCAGGGAGTGCAAGCGCGTTGCAGCTCCCTCCCCGAGCCGGGCATCAGCGCAAGGTTTGGGGAACACGATGCCTCAGGGCAGAGCGTGTCTTTGGACCACATAGGTAGATCAGATTTACTTGTAGCCAGCCAGGACTTGTAGCATGACGTTGCGGAAACTTTCTGGCGGCAGGTCGCACAAACACAGCGACCACAGATGCGACAGTGGTGCCGAGGCCGCAAACGACCTCGGCGGTGTCTTTCCGAGCTATCCTCGCTGTAGAAATTCTCCGATACCGGCTGGGCCCGTCACGTCGTCCCAATAACGCACTGCAGATGGAGCAGTTTTCTGCATCGTCATCCCAACCTTAGATTGCCGCCCGATGGCTTCATTCTCTGTTCCGCACCTTTCCAAAAGACATGGGATTCCCAACTCTGCAACGTGGTCCGGGAACGGTCGCGAGCACCAGCATCAAAGTCCTCCGTGTAACTGGCGTGCAAGGCTTCTGGCTCCAGCTGTGGGGGCGAACTGGCCTCAGTAGCAGCCAGAAAGCAAGCTGATCCTGGTCTGTCTGGCCATCCAACCCCAGGTTGCGAGTAGCGATTTCACATGTCTGCTCCCAGTGCCACGAAGCAGCTACAGAGCCAAATCGCCTTGAAGGCACAGGGGATTTCTACATCAACAGGCCATGCTATCATGATCCGCTTCGGGGTGGGAAAGAAAGCTGCAGGATGCAGTTATCTTATGAACAACTTGGCCACTGCACGTGACAAATCCTGCAGGCCTCGCAAGCTCATGATTCTCTTCCCCTTGCGCAAGCAATGCCGCCAAGTCAGTGCACTGGTCCTGAGATTGCCACGTTGGCAGTGAAGCTGGGTCCGGAAAACTGGAATGACATCTCTCATCACGGATCGACTGCCACTGAAGATGTGTACCGCTGAACAGCCAACAAATTCAAATTCCGTTTTGCTTGCCAAGACCACCAGACCACTGGCAGTTTTTGTCCCAAGTACTGGCTGGTGGGATTCAATTGCTTCGATCAAGGTGGCTCAAGCCATCGAAAGTGACATTGAATCTGGCGTTTTGGGGGATGCGGCCACACGGATCCGGTGTCTTTGAATAGAATGTGAGCGCACAGTGTGCACCATGCCACAGCGGCAGTCGCATCCCTGGCAACCTCAAGGCGCACGCCCCTGACCAGCACAGCACCAATTCTCATCCTGTTTACTCTGAACCGAAGAACCCCATATCGTTTAGTGTCTGGGGAACACAAGCAGGAATGTTCTCATTCCCGACACAACATGAAAGCAAGCAAGATTCGTGAGAGTGGCTGACACGCTGGCGAACGACAAAAGCTGCCACTGGCACGCGATGGCGAAATGGTGACGCACAGAGTTGTCAAAGTTTGTTCGTGCGTATCATTGGCTGAACCACGAATCTCAGCCGTTCCACTGTCTGTTTCCAAGACAGTGACGTCTAAACCTGCCGCTGAGCATCAAGTTCCATTGCATGCATTCAAACTGTACAACACATCAAGGCCAGCAGCTGGCCAGTTGGGAGTTGTGAGAGCCAGAGCTGCAGGGAAAGGGCTCTTGAGCCGGTACACCCTTGGCAAAGCACTCCTGTCTGAATGAAGCGATACAGCACGTCTGACGTCTGATGCCTCATGTGCATACTCCGTCGCCTTCCCGCTGGTGCAGAGCACATGTACTGCAACTCGTCCACGGTCCCACCTGTGCTGCTGTCCACCGTGGTCTGCGCGTGTGCTTGCTCGTGAACACTTTAGGCACGAGGAGAAACTCAGGGCAGCACCCCCATAAGTCAACGAAGCATCGGACAGCGTCATGAAGTTGCTTCAGGATGACGAATGCCCACTAGCCACTAGCTGTATCCATGCATGGCGGCTGTTCCGTCAAAGTCTGCAGCAAAGCTTCATGAAGTTCGTCACACAGCACTCCAAGTTTGGGTATCGATATGGATCTGCATGGGCCCACGAGAAGACTTGGGCAGAACACTGACATGATGCAGTCTCTAGGATGGCACCCGAAGGTACAGCAACTGCGAATACGTATCCACTTATCAATCTGCCTTTCCACCGAAGATTCTCCACACTTGCCGTACTCATTGGCCAGGTTCAGGCCACGAAAGCCTCCGAAGCCCAGTCGTAAAGCTTGTCCAGCCGCCCCTTACAGTGAGTAGGAATAAACTGGTTACCAGGATCCGGGTCGAAAGCAACCTCGCCACACATAGCTGTTCGAAAGGGCCAACATCGTTTGTGCACTTCGTCTGTCGTTCTGCGAAAGCCGCCACAGGACAAGTAGTTACGTCTCTGATCAGCTTCTCAGAGGGCACAAGATCTGTTTTGTGGCCATCCACTATCCCCATACGTGCGAAGAGCTGTTTCGCAAGATGTCGTTTTGCTACCCCGGGCCGATTGCCAGTGACTTTCACTTTCAAGAATGAAATTGTCATGCCTTGCGTGTCCAGTGATCATGCAGTGGCACCAAACCTCGTTTCAATTCGGTTCGATCGAGTTCGACTACAATAGCTGGCAGGAGCAGCAGCACCAGCAGTGGTACCACTAGTACTAGTGATACTACTAGTACTTGTAATGCTAGTAGTACTAACACCACGAATAGCACTAGCAGTTCTAGTCGCAATAGTAGTACTAGTAGCACTAGTAGTGCCAGTAGTACTTGTAGAACTAGCAGTTCTAGTAGCACTAGTAGTGCTAGTAGCACTGTAGTACTGGTAGTACTAGCTAGTAATACTGACAGTACAAGTAGTACTAGTCCGTGTGCCAACAAGCGAGATTGACGTGCGAGCTTGCTCGGGCGAGATGACTGATCATCTTGGTCATCTAGACCACGTACCACTTGCACCACTTGCTGGGGGCGAAACCGGTCATCTTGACAATCTTGGTCATCTTGATAGTTTTGGATAACCAAGATTACCGGTCCCTCCAAGTGGTGCAACTGGTGCAAACTGACCAAGACTAGCAATGGTCTCGAAATTTTCTGAAAAACACGATTGATGCACAAATGCTGGACTAGTAGTACTAGTAGTTCCAGTAGTACTCATAGTACTAGTGATACGAATAGTACGAGTAGCACTACTACCGGCAGTACCAGTAATTGTACCAGCCGCATCTAGCCGCATAAGTAATGCGAGTGGCACTAGTAAAACAAGCGGAATAAACATCAAAATAAAAATGGCGCCAGGAGTACCAGCAGTACTCCTATTGCTCATAGTACTGGCAACACTGGTAGCCGTAGTGGTAGCAATGGCGGTCTGACGGGTCAAACACGTCAAGTGAAGGCCCGTTTGGCTCATCTTCGCACGAAATCCAAAGACCACCCACCTTTAGAAGGCCGATCAACAGGTTCATTGCGGGAATGGTCCACTCTGGATCGTATTCTCGCTTTGGAGCGCAGTAACTACAAAACTATCATGCAAGAGTGATTTCGCCAAGACGTGCTACATATGACGAAGAAAAACGAACACAAAGGATCTTGTTCGTGCTTTGTTGGACCTTCCCAACAACAGCGAGGACTGTCATCACAGGGAGGGGCAAACGAGCCTGAGGGAGACATCACTTTTCTTAGGAAGCTGTCCTTGTATGCTGCAACTCCATCCTGACCTGGAACGTGATGTGCCAGGGTGAACCCTGTAATCAATCAAATCTTGGCGTCTTGATGGGTAGGATTACTTCCAGGGGGAACCGTCCGTTCTTTTGGTTTTTGGCGGTGACGTTTCGGGTGCCTGTGGGATCGCTCATGTCCTCACTGTCTCTCATATATATAACCGCCTGAGAGCGGCCTCGGGGATAGTCGGATAGTCGTGCCGTGCCGATTATGCCGCTTGAAGGCGTCTTGAGGTTGTGGCGGAGCATTTCCGGGAGGATCATTGAAGCTTGATCTAGCCACCATCGTCTTTTCAACCTCTACAGTAGAGCAAGGAACCCCTTAAAGGGAAAGGGGCAATCGGATCACTCTCCTTTTGAATTCAACAGCTTTGCTACCACCAGGGACTACGGTAATAGAAACGGTGGTAATCTGTGAAGGGATGTGCGCACCTAGGGGGGCTACCGGTGCAGGTGCCGTTCTTGATACTGGCAAACATGCGCTGACCGGTTTTTCCGTAGCTTCGGACCTGCACCTCACTTTTGATCCCTTTATCTTCTCTTTTTCTTTCTCCGTGTCCTCTTCCTGGGGGCTTGAGATGCGCAAGAAAATGCGATTGGTACTCGTGTAGTTCCAGTCTTGTAACTATCGATCGCCCGATCCCCTGATGGGGATGCGGCAGTAGCCAAATACTCTGTTTTTCCTTTCTTGCGGCTGCTCTTGAAGGACTTTCCTTAGCCTCCTTTCCTTTTCTTTTGCCTTTGCCACCTTTGTGTTGTGTTTCCTTTTCCTCTACCGGAAGAGGAGCCGAGTGGATCTCCTTCTGTTGCCTGGCTACAGAAGGGATAGGAGGCTTTCCCGCTGTTCAGACACTGTTCAGACCATAATGGGAAAGCTTGGGCTGCACACGCCTCTCTCTGATCCTGGTCTTGGAGCTCGGTGCATCCTGCGTCTGTGCGGAGATCCGCGGCGAAACCACGACCGTTTTTTTTCGGGAGGTACCTCGGGGAGCAAACCCATCCATGAATTTCAGACTCTCTGCTGAACGAACTTGGTAATCCAAGTAAAGGGTTCCTTTCCACGCTTGTGAAAAAGACCCAGGAATCTCCAGAGGAAGACGTACTGCTCTCCTTTCACGAAGAGTAGGCAAGCCTGGTTCGATCCTATGCATTTTTTGAATGTAATCCGTGAATTCAACCAGCTTCGAAAACTTAAATTCGGAAGAAGGGCACCCCGATCCCCCCCACATAACTAGTACTAACAGGGGCGGGGCCTCCACGGTTCGCACAGGAATAGAACCTGCCACCCAAACCACGGACGGGGAAGAGGCGACGGATGTCAATGTGATGAACCGCATGACAGCTAGTTCTTCCGGATCGACAAACCCAAGGCAATGCCACGGGCACAGAGCACCAACCGCAATGGGATAGGGGCACACCACCACCTCTGGACTTTTACCACTCACAGAAAGAAAGACTGTGGAAAACCCCCTGCCGCGAGTGGGAGATTGAAAACAGTTGCAATACGCGCTAATACGTGCTGCCTGCCCCAGCCAACCGCAAACGCCACAGACCAATGACCTAAGCAAGACCATGGGCACCACGCCTCATACAATGGGGTCGGAGGGAGGGGGAGGTGGTCAGTAGCCCTGCATCATACATATATATATATATACATATGTATATACATATACATATATATATAAACATACATACATACATACACATATACATACATGTATATATATATATATATACATGTATATATGTAAGACAAACCTTTATGTATCATGTGGCGTTCCTGTTTGGGGTATTTAAGCCAGAAGGGGATTGGATAGTTTAGATAGTTTGTGGGACGCCGGGGAGGGCACAAACTATCCAAACTATCTAAACTGTCTAAACCCATCCCGGTTTAGATAGTTTAGATACTTTGGGCCTTCTCCCGTGCCATCCAAACTATCTAAACTATCTAAACCCCTCCCGGTTTAGATAGTTTGGATAGTTTAGATAGTTTGGGAGTCTCCCGTTGGTCTGGAGAGAGAGGGGTTTAGATAGTTTAAATAATTTGGGCCTTCCCCCGTGCAGCCCAAACTATCTTAACTATCTAAACTATCTAAACCGGGAGGGGTTTAGACCAGAGCAGCGGGAGCCCCCAAACTATCTAAACTATCCAAACTATCTAAACTATCTAAACTATCTAAACCCATCCCGGTTTAGATAGTTTAGATAGTTTGGGCCTTCCCCCGTGCCACCCAAACTATCTAAACTAAACTATCTAAACCCCTCCCGGTTTAGATAGTTTAGATAGTTTGGATAGTTTAGATAGTTTGGGGGTCTCCCGTTGGTCTGGAGAGAGAGGGGTTTTGATAGTTTAGATAGTTTACATAGTTTGGGCCTTCCCCCGTGCCACCCAAACTATCTAAACTATCTAAACCCATCCCGGTTTAGATAGTTTAGATAGTTTGGATAGTTTAGATAGTTTGGGGGTCTCCCGTTGGGATGGAGAAAGAGGGGTTTAGATAGTTTGGATAGTTTAGATAGTTTGGGCCTTCCCCCGTGCCACCCAAACTATCTAAACTATCTAAACCGGGAGGGGTTTAGACCAGAGCAGCGGGAGCCCCCAAACTATCTAAACTATCGAAACTATCCAAACTATCTAAACTATCTAAACCCATATCCCGGTTTAGATAGTTTAGATAGTTTGGGCTTTCCCCCGTGCCACCCAAACTATCTAAACTATCTAAACCCCTCCCGGTTTACATAGTTTAGATAGTTTGGATAGTTTAGATAGTTTAGATAGTTTGGGGGTCTCCCGTTGGTCTGGAGAGAGAGGGGTTTATATAGTTTAGATAGTTTGGGCCTTCCCCCGTGCCACCCAAACTATCTAAACTAT